TATATATATATATATATATATATATATATATATATATATATATATATGAGATTCTGCCGAAACGTTGCTACAACTTTAAAAGCACAACTATAATGACGTGGGAAAATACCCGAACAAAGCTGAATACCATACATATAAATACCCGCGAAAACTTAAGAAAACATATATATATATGGTATTCAGCTTTGTTCGGGTATTTTTCAACGTCATTATAGTTGTGCTTTTAAAGTTGTAGCAACGTCTCGGCAGAATCTAATCTGCCATCATCAGGCTTCTGTATAGTGTTCATCTGTGAGTCTATACAGAAGCCTGATGATGGCAGATTAGATTCTGCCGAAATGTCGCTACAACTTTAAAAGCACAACTACTATGACGTGGGAAAATACCCGAACAAAGCTGAATGCCATACATGTAAGTACCCGCGAAAACTTAAGAATATATATATACTCTGAGGTTCTCGCGGGTATTTGTATCTTTGGTTATTCAGGTTTTCTCCCGTGTAAGATTGGAAGTATCTAGGCAACGTTTTGATGAAGTCTCATTCATCATCTTCAGGCTTGTGTCTTCTGCTCTGTGCTTCTCAGAGTAGTGTGAGCTTGCAGCTGCTTCTTCCTTTTAACTGCTAGTGGGGGTGTGACTTGATTGGGTGGGGGCTTGGCTGTGTTCTGATTGGGTGGGGGTGTGTTCTCATTGGCTGGGGGCCTGGCTGTGCTCTGCTGGGGGGTTGGCTGTGCTCTGATTGGCTGGGGGTGTGTTCTGTTCAGGTGGGGGCTTGGTTGTGCTCAGGTTAGTCTTAGTTGCTGGGGGATTTGAGCTGGTGAGCTGTGATCCTGCTGTTTGGCTTTGTGTTCGTGGTCGTGCCGCATCTTCATGGTGGGTGTCAGTTCGCTTCATGTATGGCTCGGAGGGGTTTGAAGCGGGTAGTGATGCAGCTGCAGTGCGGCTTCTGGTCTGTGGTCGTGTCTCATCTTCTGTGTGGGTGTGAGTCTGCTTTCTATGTGGAAGTGTGGTGGTAGCATCTTGTGTGGCCCTCGTGGGTGTGGGTCTGGTGTCATTCTTCATGTTAGGTACTCGTCTGTTTGTGAGGGCGGGTTTCCAAATGGCTGGTAAGCGGGAGGTGTCATCTCGTTTATTCATGCTGTGTGGGTGTTTTTCTATCTCTATGGCTTCTCTGATTATTCTGTTGTTGAAGTGTTTGGTTTTGGCGATAGTTCTGGTATTTTTAAAGTCAATCTCATGTCCTGTGGCTTTGAGGTGTTGGACCAGGGAAGAGGTTGGTTCTTCTTTTTTGATTGAGTTCTTATGTTCTTCAATGCGTGCACTTATTCTTCTGTTAGTTTGTCCGATGTATGTGGTGGGACAGGCGGTGCAAGGGATTTTGTATACTCCTTGGTTTTCTAACTCGATTTTGTCTTTAGGGTTTCTTAGGATGGTGGATATTTTTCTGTTTGTGCAGAATGCTGTTTTAATATTGTGTTTTTGGAGGATCTTGCTGATTTTGTCTGTAGTGCCTTTTATATATGGGAGGAGGGCTTTGCCGTTCTCTTGTTCTCTGTCTTGGATTTTGGTTGGGGTTTCTTTTTGGATTAGGTGAGTAATCTTCTTTCTTTGGAATCCATTGGCTGTTAATACGTTAGTGAGAGTGTGTAGTTCAATTTTTAGGTGTTGTTCGTCGGCTAAGCATTTTGTTCTAGAGATGAGTGTCTCAGGTACGGAATTGATCTGTGCTGGGTGGTGGTGTGAGAGTGCGTATAGATAGCAGTTTGTATGTGTTTTCTTCTGGTAGATGGTGTGTCCTAGGGAGCCATTGGATTTTTTGTATACCAAGATATCTAGGAAGGGGAGTTGATTGTTAGCTTCTGTTTCCATGGTGAATTGTATTTTGGGGTGTAGGCTGTTGAGGTGTGTGAGGAAGTTGTTCAGTTTTTCTTTCCCGTGTGGCCAGATTATGAAGGTGTCATCTACGTATCTGAGCCAGAGTTTGAGTTTGTGATCATATTTTTCTAGAGCTTGTGTTTCAAAGTGTTCCATGTAGAAGTTAGCAATGGCAGGTGAGAGGAGTGATCCCATGGGTGCACCTTCTATTTGTTTGTATTTTGTCCGTTGTAGGTGAAGTATGTATTGGATAGGCAGTGGTTGGTCAGATCTAGGATGTGCTTGGCGGGGTTGTATTTGTTTTGGATGGCTGTCAAGGCTTCTTTTATTGGCACTTGGGTGAAGAGGGATATGACATTGAAGCTCACTAGTAGGTCGCTGGGTTGTAAGTTTTGTTTCTTTATGATCTCGATGAACTGGAATGAGTTTCTTACGTGTGAGCTGATGGATTCTGCATAGGGCTGTAGTTGTTTGGCAAGAAATTTGACAAACATTTACCTAACATGAAGAATGACACCAGACCCACACCCACGAGGGCCACACAAGATGCTACCACCACACTTCCACGTAGAAAGCAGACTCACACCCACACAGAAGATGAGACACGACCACGGACCAGAAGCCGCACTGCAGCTGCATCACTACCCGCTTCAAACCCCTCCGAGCCATACATGAAGCGAACTAACACCCACCATGAAGATGCGGCACGACCACGAACACGAAGCCAAACAGCAGGATCACAGCTCACCAGCTCAAATCCCCCAGCAACTAAGACTAACCTGAGCACAACCAAGCCCCCACCTGAACAGAACACACCCCCAGCCAATCAGAGCACAGCCAACCCCCAGCCAATCAGAGCACAGCCAGACCCCCAGCCAATGAGAACACACCCCCACCCAATCAGAACACAGCCAAGCCCCCAATCAAGTCACACCCCCACTAGCAGTTAAAAGGAAGAAGCAGCTGCAAGCTCACATTACTCTGAGAAGCACAGAGCAGAAGACACAAGCCTGAAGATGATGAATGAGACTTCATCGAAACGTTGCCTAGATACTTCCAATCTTACACGGGAGAAAACCCGAATAACCAAAGATACACACACACACACACACACACACACACACACACACACACACATATATATATATATATATGAGCAACCACTGCCTAACCAACACATACTTCATCCACAATGAAAAAAGATACAAACAGATAGAAGGAGCACCTATGGGATCACGCCTCTCACCTGTTATCGCTAACCTATACATGGAACACTTTGAAACCAACGCTCTAGACAAATCCGAACACAAACCCAAACTCTAGCTTAGATACGTAGATGACACTTTCGTAATTTGGCCACATGGGAAAGAAAAACTGGACAACTTCCTCACACACCTCAACAGCCTACACCCGAAAATACAGTTCACCATGGAAACAGAAGCCAACAACCAACTTCCCTCCCTGGACATCCTAATTTACAAAAAACCCAATGGCTCCCTAGGACACACCATCCACCGGAAGAAAACACACACCAACCGCTACTTAAACGCACAATCCCATCACCACCCTGCACAGATCAACTCCGTAGCCAAGACCCTCATCTCCAGAACCAAACGCCTAGCCGACAAAGACCACCTGAGAACAGAATTACACACTCTCACTAACGTATTAATTTCCATTGGTTTTCAGGTGGGACAGCACAAGCCTTCCAAATATTTTCATAACTACAGATGTTAGAGCAACTGGTCTGTAGTCATTCAGTTCCTTGATGGAGGGCTTCTTTGGCACTGAGATGATGGTAGAACGTTTGAAGCAGGAAGGAACATAGCACATCTCTAGTGATCTAGTTCAGCTCAGCCATTAATATTGATAGCAATCTTTTACATTTCTATTTAGAATATTTCCATCTTTTAACAAACATTACCTAATAATATCAGTTTTCATTCACTTTAATCACCTATATTTCATATTTTACTCATTACTGTCTTTAAACAAAAAGCAAAACAATAGTCATTAACAGTAGTCAATAAAATTATTATTTTTATTCAAATTCATCCTGTCAACTGATATTAAAAATCTTCCATGTTTCTTTTCAATTATATACCTTTTTTAAAAATCATTGAGAGTCTTATTCTCTTATCCTCTTTATTTCCTTTAATTAATAACAAATATTCCATTACATATCAATGCCAATTTTATGTCACTTTAATAATCTATCATATTTTCTAACTATTTTCTATTTCTAGTATAACAATGCTATCTCATATACCCTTGCAGAATCCTCTCTTTAAATTAAATTTTTAACCATTGTCTCTGTGTCTTTTAAATAAGCTTATACCTTTAATTCTTGTACATTTTTCCTGTTTCTCTATATCTTGTTTCTGACCTTTATAACTTCTTTTCCTTTCCATCTTCCCCCTCTTCTTCTCCCTCCCCTTTTTGTTCCCTTTTCTATCTAATTCTCCCTTCTGTGATCCTCCCTTCTGCTTCTTCCTAATCTTATAGTTACTTTTCAAATTATTCTTTTTTTTAGTTGTTGCTTCAAGTCTTAAGTTTTTAACTCCCCCCCCCCTTTCCCTTTTTTACCCTGCTTAAAATTGCTTGGTCATTAAAGATGGCTTCTTCTTTGTCCCGCCCTTCTTTTTCTGCAAGCATTTCTTGCTCTTTTTCATAGTTCAAAATCTCCATTTCTAAAAATTGAAATATGAAGCCAAAAGATCCTCTTCCCTCTTGTGCTTCTTCTTTTTGTTCTTTAAGTCTCATTTTAGCTCTTCAAGGAGTGATGCCATTTTAAAGATTTTTAAACAACTCCCAATTGATTTTATTTTGTTTCATTAGGATCCACCATCCAAAATTCCAGGAATCACTCAATAATCCAAAGCTGTTTCTTGCTTCTTTTCTCACTTTCCCTTTCCAGGGGCTTTGTTATCTTGTAACAAAGTTTCAGCTACAATGTGTCCTTTAGAAGTCTTGTTAAAATTCCACTATCAATTCTTTTTACTTCCAGGTGGTCTCCTCCATTTTTCCAGATTCTACCCTCTTTTTTTCCCTTCTGCTTTCTTTCTTTTTGAAAATTTTAAATTATCCAAGAGTCTTTATCCCTTTGACACTTTATTTTCAGCTAAAAATAGTCTGTTAATATCAAAGTGGATTAATATCAATTTCTTGTTTAGATCTCTTCTTCTTAACGTTCAAAGTCAATTAGAGCTGTCAGTGTGAGAGAAAAAAAACCAGTTCTTTTTCCTTTCCCTTTCTCTTTCACCGCTTTAAAAATCTTTTTTAGGAATAGTATTAGTCTTTGTAATTCAAGCTCCAGGTACCTTAAATAGATGTTTCCTCTGTTCAACCCAATCAGTCAAAGTTTCTCCTTTAAACTTCCTCCTGCACAATCTTGTCCCGTTGGGTTCTTTTTTAAAGTGGCCATTTCTGACCACTGCTACAACCGCCTTTGGGAAAGGGAGTAATGGCCAGCCGAGGAGGAGAGATGCAGCTCTCCTCAACCCTTCTGGTGGCCTCCCTCTTCTTCACCACCTCTATAGGATGGCTTCAGCCCCGAATCCAAGCGGCTTGGGGTGGTCCAGCAGCGAGCACGGATCGAAACCACACATGATCGCGGATTTTGGTCCATTGCCAAAGAAGCCCAAACCGGAAGTCTCCTTTTTCTGAATTCCTAAATGGCTTTATTTTCAATATCAAAGGTGATAAATCAGGACTTAAGGGGAGTTTAACATGTTGAATATCTCTGCAGTCTTGGGAGGGCAAGAGCAAACATGATTGTTCTCAAAGGCCCTATTACTAGGGAAGACCCTTCCCCACCTCCATTTGAATGTAAGCCGTGATACAAACTCACATATATTGTTTCTAATGGGTTTATATGAAGTTGTCTTTATCTTTATCTCATGCCATCCCCTTAGTAAGTAATACATTCATAAGCAACACTTAGCTGTACCAGTGCTAAAATATATTTCCCCCCTTAAACTAACAAAATTCAACAACTACAAGGTATGCAAAATGTATTGTTATTCACCACCCAGTATGAAAAAGGCACTTATGGGCCATTCTAGGATAATAATCCCTCTAATCCCCTTATCTCCTGCCATTCCTAAAGAGTGTCTTCCTAAAGAGTTAGACTCCAGTGCTAGTGATCCTTCTAATTTGCATAGATGTGGTAGAGGTGTGTTTCTTTGCATGGAGGTTAACAGAAAACAGAATCACAGAGCTGGAAGGGGTATTGGAGGTCTTCTAGTCCAACCCCCTATTCAAGCAGGAAACCGTATTTCATTTCAGACAAATGGTTGCCCAATTTCTTCTTAAAAACCTCCAGTGTTGGAGCACCCTCAACTTCTGGAGGCAAGTTGTTCCACTGATTAATTGTTCTCTCAGGAAATTTATCCATAGTTCTAGGTTGGTTCTCTTCTTGATTGTTTTCCATCCATTGCTTTTTTTCCTGCCTTCAGGTGCTTTGGAAAATAGATTGACCCCTCTTCTTCTTTGTGGCAGCCCCTTAGATATGGAAACACTGCTATCACATCATTCCTAAAGCCTTCTTTTTCATGCAACCATTCTTTGTATGTTTTAACCTCCAGTTCCTTAATCATCTTTACTGCTCTCCTCTGCACTCTTTCTAGGGTCTCAACATCTTTTTTATATTGTGGTGACCAAAACTGGATGCAAAATTCCAAGTGGGGTGTTACTGAGGCATTAAAAATGGTATTAACACTTTGCGTGATCTTGATTCTATCCCTCTGTTAAGCCTTGGACTGTGTTGGCTTTTTGGGGAATTGCAGCACATTGCTGGCTCATATTTAAGTGGTTGTTCACTAGGACTCTAAGATCCCTCTCACAGTTACTACTATTGAGCCAGGTACTACTACTTATTCTGTACCTGAGCATTTGTTTTTTCTTGCCTAAATATAGAACTTTGCTTTTCTCACCATTGAATTTCATTTTGTTAGATAGTGCCCAATCTTCAAGTCTGTCAAAATCCTTCTGTATCTTGAACCTATCTTCTGGAGTGTTGGCTATTCGTGCCCTTGTCTAAATCATTGATGAAGATATTGAAGAGTACGGGGTCTAAGACAGAGCCTTGGGGTACCCCACTGTATACTTCCCTCCATGTAGATGCAGTTCCATTAAGGACTACGTGTTGAGTGCAATTGGTCAGCCAGTTACAAATTCATTGTTCTTTTACATTATTTAGCAACCACATTTCATTTGCATGCAAATGACCCTGCTTCTGTCTACCTGTGCAATACAATGTGATCTGCAGCTGTTATTATCTGACCTCTGAATGGTGAAAAGAGTTGATGACCAAGTATATTCAAACAAGGCTCAATTGCACAACAGCATTAGAATAATCAGCCAATAGAACTCTTAAGAACTTTAACCCAGTAATTCTTAACAGATCCATGGGGACATTAAAGGAGCCTCCCCAAATTACCTTTGGCAATTGGGTGTCCCTTGGGAAACAGTGTTGTTACTTGCAAATCCTTTCAACTCTGAGGCACCCTTCAGTTAGCTTTGCTGGTGCTTCTGATATGAATAGGGACAGAACAGATCCATGCTGAAGATGAAGGGATGAATCCAGCTACTGCCTTGCTTATCACACCCTGCATATGCATAATCAGCTTAATTACAAACAAAACCATTGGGCACTGATGCACAAGGGAGCCTGATTGAGAGTGATAATGAGGTCAGAAAATGTAATGCTTGTATATATTTTATCCTGACATAAAGGAAGGTTGACTGTGCCTTAATTTCTGGAAAGGCACAGAGAAACAGAAGGGAAGGATTTCCTTCTGATATTATCTTGCTCAATGTGAATGTTTTAAATAGGCCAACAGGTGAGGTCTAAAAATATTTTGGGATTGGGATTGGGAAAAGTCACTGACAGACTCAAAGGGAAAGGCAGAGGCTATTATTTTGGAGCAGCTCAGTCCACAGTGTTAATCCACTGTGTTAGTCCACAGCAAAAGCTGTGCTTCCTATTTATTTAAGTCACAAACTTGGGCAATTCAGAAGTTAACCCCAGCAAATTCTAGGTCTCATTTGAATCCTTAATTAGTTACAGTAGGAAATGACTACTATCACTGGTTTTTCTATCTAGCAACCAATTTCCATTTTGTTATTTTCCACTGAAACAGGGGGAGTTTCTTCATCTCATCCCAGATCCTTCTTTTTTATTTTTTTCAGAGTATCTAATTTGGTCCTTTCACATGACTTGTGTATGTCTGTTTCAAAAGATTTCTAAAGGAAACTCTCGTTTTTTCCCCTTTCCCAGAGGATATGTTGTCAATATGGACTGGGAGAAAGGAGAAGGTCATGCATTTCCATATTTTATTTTTGCTGCATCGTGTTCTGAAGTTGAGATTGACTGTCTCACTGGTGATCATAAGGTAAGTCCATCATAATCTCCACTTTTCTGCTCAACCATGGGATAGCCTATGGGGTGATTAAGTAGCCCTCCTGCCTTTTAGGTTTGAGTGATCAGAAAATTTTGTGCTGGAGCAATGCTCAACCACCAAACATTTTGAAGGATAAACATGGAGAGATCATAACATACATCAGCAAGTATTTCAAAGATATCAACAATTGGCCACTCAAGTTGGGAAACTTTTGCAATTACTGGCTCAATTAAATCAAAACCTATTTCAATTGGATACTGCCAAGTGCCAGGTCATCTCCTACAGATATGGGGAGGAAGCAGTTGTCTGAAATATCCATGTTGTGTCTCGTCAAGGAAGGCTGTACCAGACTGGGGAAAGTTTTATAGGGTATGTAGTCAACACTATAAAACAATCTTTGTGGAATTAGACAATGCCACCAGAGAATTCATGAGCCAGGAAAGGGAGTATATGTGGAAGTGTATGTGGAAAGCTCCAAGTTCAGTCTTTGGCACAGACAATGTTAGGCGAAATGGGAAATGTGCAAAGGCATCTTTTTCAGGTAGGTGGTTTCTTAGCAGAAGACAGGAAATGTTTTGGTGGCTGGGGGCCTGTGTATAAGATGGATTAGGGAATGAAGATCCTCACTGGGTGGAACATTAATGCAACTGGGGAATAGGGTGATGTCCATAGACAAGACTAGTTTTCAGAGGGGAAGAGGAGGGGGTTGTTTTTTTTTAAGTATGTTACCTTTAGCATAGATCTTATGCCACAGTTTTCCATATGTCGCATCACAAAATAATGGAAGATTGCCACTGTGAGAAAGAGCATCAGAGCCTGCAAAAAGGGATTCTACAGGTCCGTGCTGCCCTAAAACAACCAGGTGCCCATCTGCACACCATACAATGGCCTCTCCTCACCTGATGCTGTTTGGAATTTATTTATATAAATTCCAATCACATCATAGAGCATACACCTTCTACTAGATCTGGGCAAAGCAGTGACAGCCAAGTAGAGACAGTGGGAGAGATGCAGCCCCACGACTAGCCTGCCCTCATGTCATATAGGACTTTGTAAGTGATAATTAGCACCTTTCATCACACCAGAAAGCCTACTGGAATCCAGTGCAGCTTGTGGAGCAGAAGTGTTATACGAGAAATTAACAAAAAATGTCAAAGACTGCCCACGCAGCTGCTCCCTGGAGCAGCTCAGCTTCCAAGTCCTGTTCAAGTGCAGCCTCAGGTACAGCAAGTGATAATAATCCAAACAGAAAGTAATTAAGGTATGAGTCACCATGAGCAAGACCTTCCAGAACTGGGCGCAATTGATGAACGAAACTGTGCAAAGCCCCCCCCCCCCCCCCCCCCCCCCCCCCCCCCCCCGCAGCCACCCCCACCCCCACAGTTACAGCTACTACCTGCTCCTACTGTAAGTCCAGTATGAATCCAAAATTACACATTGACTGGGGAAGTGTACCTTTGACAGAGTTAAAGATGGAAAATATCAGGAACTGACAATGCGGGGGCAGCTTAAAACTGAACCCCGACCCAGACCTTTACAGTCTCTAGGCGTCAGGAAATGATCTTGACATTACTTGGCTGGCTCAGGATGGGGTTGGGATAGGGTATTATTAGCATACTGATGATATGGCACCCTGTGCCAGTGGATGATAGCAGCTTCATGTAGATGTTAAATAGGGGAAGGGATAATGCAGCGCCCTGAGGCACCTCACAAAGCAGAGCTTCAGGCTTGACTTTTTCCACCCTGCTAACACCAACTGGAAGCGGCCCTAAAGAAAGGAGTAAAATCACCATACTTCTATTCCAATACCCTAAAGCAGCATAGTAGGACACCATGATCAGTGACCAAAAATCAACGGAGAGGTCAAGGGTGAGCAGGATGGATACATTTTTCACATACTGAGCCTCCAAGAGATCATCAACAAGCACTATAATCAGGCCTGAATCTTGATTGAAAAGAGTTCAAATAATCTACATCTTCCAGAGATCTTTGGAGTTTAAGCCAACCAATTATCAATCTTCCTAAAAAGGAAATATTGAACATTGAATAAAAGTTGTCCAGATTCATTGCATTCAGCAATGATCTCTTAAGGAGAAGGTATACACAACCATCTCCTCCAAGGCGGATGGAACCATCCCTTCCAACAGAGAAGTATTTACCATTGCATGGACCCCATTGCCTGTCACTTCCCAGGAAACCTTAATCAACCAGGAGGAACAGGAATCCAGAACATCATTCACTGCTCGAAAGACATTGTCTGCCTCATCTATCTCATTAAGACTAACTAGTTCAAACTCTTCACAGATCACCAATTGCCTCAGGCAATTCCATGGAATCTGAAGAGCCGAATTCCAACTCTAAGACAAACTGAGCAACTTTGTCTGACATTTAACTAAAATAGTCTTCACAGCAGCCCTACAAGAATTCCCAGGGCTCCTTCTTACTTAGAAGGGATGAGGTTATTGACAGATACAATAGGGATGGAGAAATAATTATTAAATGGCTTTTATTGCCAATCCTTACAAAAGGCTTTACCCATGTTTGGTCAAATTCACTGTTTGTTTTCCTTCAGGGACACTATACAGTTTTCTTAGTTTATTTCATCACCAACACTCTTCTGAAAGCCTAGGGGTCTCCAGGATCCATGTGCCTAGAGAAACTACTTAGGCACAATCTGATCCAAGGCCAAAGCTGCCTTCATTTCAAGCAGCAACTAGAGACTCAGTTGAACCATGCACCAGAACCACAGGAACACTCCAAATTCCTTTTGGAACTCATTAGAATCTATCAGGTGCTTGAGGCAGACTGTTCAAATTGGCTCTGCTTCCCTGTGACATCAGAATAATCAAGAATCAGCAAGGAAAATCCATCCATGACAAGGAATTGATAGTAATATTCCCCAACTGTAGATAACATTGCCACTGCACTGAGATATAAGCCAGGCCTGATGTGTGGACTGACTTTTAAGTTGAGTCACAAATTACTTGGGTCAGGTCCAGAGTTGTCATGAACTCCCAAGTGGTTTCTGTAGCTGTGTCCAAGAATAGCGTTTGTTCTATGGTCTCAGTTAGTGATGTTTTTTTTTGGGGGGGGACAGGACAGATCCTATTAGAGCTATCAAATGGAGAAAAATATTGTGCTTAGAATCCTCCTTCCCCTAGCCTATTCCTCAAGTAGCAGACCTTTAGCCATACTTAGAGACTCCAGGAGAACAAGTTCAAAGGTGCAGTGCCTTCCAGCCAAAGCCCCCAAATATTATCATGCCTGCTGGAAAAACTTCCAAAAGTTTTATGGTAATAACATAATTTGTCCATATAATATCATAGGCTTGAATTCCCACAATTTTCAGTTTTTACCTGAACTGCTATAAAATGTCTTGATGATATTTTTTCTGTGCAACAGAATCTCCGAACTGACATGGTCATAGATGGTAGTTTCAGCATCAATCCAGGCATTGATATAGGACAGGTACGTATTTTAAATTCCCCCTTATTGTAACTACAAGCCAACAATCTTTCTTGAAAGATCAAAGAAATGAATCCCAGTTGCATGTTATTGTTCAGATCCTTCCTTCCTTCTCACCCTCCTTCCTTTCTTCCCTTCTTTCCACTTCTAGCAGGCAGGTAAGTGGCTGCTGTTAGATGGGAGAAGGGGCAAGGGATTGTGAGACTGGCTGGGAAACTGTTACAAAATATTGAAAATAAAGATCATGTGACTGCAGCAGCAGCAGCAGCAGCCCTGCAGTGCAGCAACTGCAAGTAGACTTTCCTGAATTTCATTTCCTCAGGAGTCATGAATTCTGGATTTTGGGACACGTTCTGTTATTTAGTCCATTTGAACTAGCTTTTTGCCCTATGATATACTATTTTGCCCAATTAAATGTCATGCCAATGAGAATTTTAGTAGTAAATAGATAGAAGATGTGAAAAGATAAATTAAATGATACCATATCATTTCATTTTCTTATCAATCCTGGGATAGGCTGGAATGATTAAACAAGAGTGTGATGTTTTCATATATCCATGCTGCAGAATTCAGTTTTCTCTTATTGATCACATTGCATTCTTATAGATTTGGTTATCTACACTGTTGGGTTTTTTATTTTATTTTTGTATTGTTTCACATTTGAATATTAAGAAGCTTCCAAGCATGATGGTTGTAGAGAGAAACAGTGCAAATCTGCATTAATTTTTAGTTCATCTTGGCATTTTTATTTCCAGATTGCTTTAATAGTGTTGCTGTCCTATGGTATCACAATTAGTATACAAACATGTGTTACTGTAAGACATTCTTTAGTTTTGCATCCTTTTTTATTTTCACTTTCCAACCAAACTACGATATATGTGATCTGCCTCTGGAAAAAAAACCTGAATGGAAGGAAGGAGGGATGTACTTAGGGTAAAGGGCCTAAGATTATAGCAATGAAATATTTGCAAGAAGGATTCATGGATGCCTGATAAACTTGCAACAGAAGCAGTGCTTGGAAGAACAAAGGGTAGTAGCTGATTCATTCAGGCTGCAGCTGAAAAATATTGTGTTCAGAATCTCAAGCATCCATGGATTTCTCAGAATGGATGTTTGAGAAAGAGATTCTCTTTATCCTTAGGCCATAGCCTACTATTAAAGTATTAATGTATCCTGAAAGTCATTTCAATATGGAATGGGTTGAGAATAAATGTAATAAATAAATTGTCTTCCTTCAGTAATAGTAAAATACGGTAATTGAATATAATGGGACATGGGAATGGACTTGTTGGAATGGAGAAGTCACAATTCTTGCTGCTGCTTACTATTCATTTAATTCTAGACAAATATTGCTTATGTGATGAAGTTGTAATATGATGCAGCAACAAAAGAATCCTAACCGGCAAATAAGAAAATACATAACAAGAAACTTGCAATGTGAATGTAAATTAAGAGTGCATGGCAGTTAAGAAATAGAAAGCCAATATGCATTTTCTACATTTTGTGGAAAGTTTCCTTAAGTCCCCCAAACCCTGGGATAGGATGGAACCATTAAGCAAGAACTGAAAGCAAGCATATTGTGTAGGATGTGTTTATCATGTCAGGATATTATCTACCCTATCCTTCCTTTTAGTGGATTCTCACAAGTCAACAGAAGTGTCTAATAGGTATCTCCAAATTTAAGAAAATTGTCAGAGTTACTGTTCTGCAGAAGAACAAAAAAGATTATTTTTACAGCACATTTTACAGTATATATTCACATTCCCAAGGAAATATACTTAGTATGAAAAACTTAAGAAGTTATTATTTTCTTAGAAGAAATATATATAAAAAACAAAGTGTGGATTTTATTTTTCTCAGGTTGAAGGTGGCTTTATTCAGGGACTTGGACTTTATACATCAGAAGAGATAAAATTCTCTCCAGAAGGACAGCAGTATACATTGGGTCCTGACACATATAAGATACCGGGTCTTTGTGATATTCCAGAAGATCTTAGAACCTACTTGCTGCCAAACTCAAGAAATCCCATTGCTATCTACTCCTCCAGGGTAAGCAAATAATATGGGTTGTCCTGGGACTATTGAAGTAAGGAACACAACTCCAAGAAGACAATGCCATCTACTTATTTAATGATTGCTGGGTGCCTGCTTTGCAAGAAAGAGGGTATCCCAAAATATGAGTAAGCAAATATTTTTATTGAGGTTAAGGGCTATAAATCAAGAAATCCTATAGATCAGATTTGGAAGTCAGTTTGTGGAAGCTAGGCAGGACTTGTCAGTTTACCTATTGTTAGGCAAAATGGGCCTTTGGAGAAGGCAGCTGAGCCAGGGATGTCCACTGTTAAAACAAATGGAATGTTGATTCTTCAGGCTGATTGAGGATGGAACTTTGAGGATTATTATTATGTTGTTCCTAGAGCTGCCCTTGGGCTGTACTATGAGCTGGTGAGAGGACTTCTATTATTTGGCTAAAATGGGATGACAAGAGGGCTTTGTCTTGGACCAAGGGTCAATTTGAGTTTCATAGGATTAGGCAAGGTCTGATCCTGATCATGTCCAAAAGATGGAGGTGGATGGGAGGAAGGATGCAACCTCCATTTTGTTCGATTTTTTTTTCTCCACTAATGGATAAAGAACAGCTTGGAGAGTGCTCCAGGTTTATGAGTTACTTTTCTAGGAGGCATGATTATTATTTTATTTTATTGTAACAATTTGGATTTGCCCAAACTCCAAGCAGTTTATGTCAATAAGATACAATAAAAATAACAGCACAAGGAACAACCCTTCAATTAAAGTCTGTGTGATAAATTAATGTTAAAAACAAAACAGCAAAATCAGATATTCAAAAAATAAAAAATTCAGGGACTTTTTCCATGTTAAAGCGATCTGGGCAGAACATTTTTAGACTGTTAACCCTACATATGGACAGTAAAATCTATATATTAATTTAGAAACCATGGTTCAATAGTCTGACAATGTGCAGTAAATCTTATATTTTTTTTATAAAAGTAATAAAATAGGTTTAAAGAATCAAAATCGTGTGTAAAGTATGCATCATATGTAAAAATAAACATTTTCCTGAAAAGAAAAGAAGTTTTGTTTTATAAAGTGATTACAGGTAAAATGTTTATTGATGACCAAGAAAGAGGATCTTGCTTACTTATTACTTAATATGCAAATTAAAAGTGCAAGATCTCCATAAAGACTTCCCTGTTGTTTTATGTGAAAGCTGAGTTTGTAAGAACCTTTTAACTACATTTGATGTTGTTCAGTCCCTAAGTCTTGTCCAACTCTTCATGACCCCATGGATTGTAGCATGCCAAGCTCTCTTGTCCTCCACTATCTCCTGGAGTGTGTCCAAACTCATGCCCATTGCATTGATGACACTATCTAAAGTCATCTTATCCTCTGCCATCTCCTCCATTTGCCTTCAATCTTTCCCAACATCAGGGACTTTTCCAATGAGTCATCTCTTTGCATTTGGAGGCCAAAGTATTTGAGCTTCAGTATCTGCCAAGTATAGTGTTGAAAAAGATGCAATTTCTATAAACTGTAATACATTTTCTATATTTTCAGTTCACAAGGGGCTTTGTCTTTTATGCACTGAAAATATTCCGAATTTTTAGAATGCTACTAACAGAATAGGATGATTGTATCAGACTCTTAGCTGTGTGAAATTGCTGTACTGTATAGCCTTAAACACTATTGTACAAGAATGTTGCATCAATATTTTTTTCCCTTCCCTTCATTTTTTTTTTTCAGGGATTGGGGGAATCTGGAGTATTCCTCGGATCCTCTGTATTTTTTGCTATACGAGATGCAGTAGGTACTGCACGGAAGGAAAGAGGATTAAACTCTGCTTTCACACTGGACAGTCCACTGAATGTAGAGAGGATTCGCATGGCCTGTGCTGATTACTTTACAGAAATGGTAAGACTCTGCCCTGTCATTTCCTCTATCCTTTTCCTCTAACCATTTCTACTTCAACCAGAAAGGCAAAGATTGTAAATGAAAGAGTATAAAACCATAGTCTTAAATGCTCAGTACTGTTAAGTAAGGAAAAGTTAAGATGGGGGGGGAGGGGGGACAGAATAATTGTTCCAGATTATCAACTCTATAAATGATAATTTTATTGTAGTCAGAAAAGGCTCCCATGGGAGGAATGGGCTTGGAGACTGTCAATTATCCCTGTTCTTGAAGCCTTGCCTCTCAAGCTGCTCTTCAGTATCTTCTTTCTCTTCTTCCAGCAACTTTGCAGAAGGTATTAGGGGATTCAGATGGAAGAGGAATCAGGGAGGGAGGGAGGGAGGGACTCCCAACATCTTCCCACCCCCATCAAGCCCTGTGAGATGGCAAACTTAGGAAAGAACCACTTGGATTTCTGGAATAATCTTGATTACCCATAGAATAATGTAACAGAATCTTGAAAGCCTGCCAGTCAACTGATACCTAGCGAAATTAAGGTGGAGTTACTTTTTCACTTCTGTGTTTCCAAAATCATGTAGACATTTAATCATACCACTGCCTGATGTGATTAAAACTCTGCTATATTATTTTATTGTGATTTACTGTGTAAGTTACAAAACTCCCCCCACTTCTGAACCACCAATTTTTTAAATGATGGGGTATGAATGTGCACTTATTGCACAAACCACATATTAAAGATCTGGAAATCCAGCAAGATCAAGCTGCTCTTCTCAAGATTGTTTATTTGAACAGTCAAATCTCCCCTCTTAAAGCAAGATATTTATATCAAATAACCATCCCAAAAGTCTGAAGGGCACTAACCTTACCACTCAGCAGTTTTGGAGGGCTGATGCAAAAAAATAAGATATGAGCTGAGACTGTGCCCCTGTGGACAAGGGCCATTGAAACTATAGCTCACATCTTGCTATACTGCATTTTCTATAAGGACTCACAGACTCAATTTATAACAACTTGCTTAATAAAATATATGGGAAATAATTATATTTTTATATGCAATTACCGTTATCAGATCAATACAAAATAGCTTTTTTGAATGTGATTTTGATTTTGCTATGATGTATGTAAAATTAGATGAACTTTAACTGCCCACTGATAATTCACCACCAACTGCAATATATTATTTTGTCTGCCTTTTTTTGTTTTTTACTATTTTTTAATGCTTTTGTTTGTAGTGTTGGTCCACGACTGTAATAAAGATTGGGTGATTCAATGAACCACCAATTCACTGATATCACTAATCTAAAATGGTGTTGTTTTTTGCTATCCTTGCTTTCGATCATTCAGATGAATTACGCACTCTGAAATTTAGTATTATGAGTTTGTCCAGGACCAACTCAAATGTTATGAGTTTCTGTGAAGTTTAATTTTGGTGTGTTGTTAGGCAATGCAGTAAAAAAAGTATCATGTTATTTTATTGCCCATTAAACATGAAAAGTTCATTTCATAGCAAAGTAATCTGGACATTTGAAAGATGTTGCATAAATGTCGTGCACCATAGATTAGTATGCATGCAATTGTAACTTCATAGTTGCCTTCTTAAAACACTGACCTTCAATTTGGAGCAAAACAAAACTTCCATTTGTTATCAGCTCAAGAGAGTCAGGTTCAGTGTTCATGGAGCAAAGCTAGCAATCCAAGGTTTTACAAAAGATTCAGGATATATATGCATAGAGTAAGTCAATAAACTAACCAAAAGCAGATTTCAGATTTCCAAATATTTTGGAAATATTTAAGATTAACCTTGCAAAGAAGCAGTTAAAATAAAGCAAAATAAATGTATTTTATTACAATAGCATTTTATGGTATTTTTATGCTTCAATAAAAACTTCCCAACCTAATAGAATGCACGTGGTTTGCAGTAGTACAGTTTTCTATCTCCTTACCCCACTTTTCCTTATGGCTCTCAAGATTGGAGGAAAATGCTTTGTGTACAGTATGTATTGGTTATTACATTGCACGTAATTGTAACAGCCCACAAGAGCCAGTATGTTGTGTTGTATCTTATTGAGCAAGTTAAATATGCAGTCTAGAATGTCGACTATAATAATTATGTTTTATCTCATACTAAACAATCACATGATTAAATAATTTTTCATGTTCCTTTCTTGTTTAGATTCCAAGAGACAAGCCTGGGACCTATACACCTTGGGCTATCCAAGTTGATTAATCTTCTACTTCAGTGATGGGATTCAAAAAATTTTACTAGCAGTTCTGTGGGTGTGGCTTGGTGGGTGTGGCAGGGGAAGGATACTGTAAAATCTCCAGTCAGAGGTGGCATTTGCCGGTTCTCCGAACTACTCAAAATTTCCGCTACCGGTTCTCCAGAACTGGTCAGAACCTGCTGAATACCACCTCTGTTCTACTTATTTTTCAATGAAGCTGTGATTTTCTTACCACGTAATGTTGTACATACCACTTCAGAAATATATCGTATGGTTTTCGATGGGACATACACTCCAAATAAACGTTTATAGGACTGCATCCTTAACTGTCTGTCAAGACAATAATATTGGAACCATGTTTAGGATACTGTTGGCCAAACTTGTTCAGTTTGATCTTTGAATCATTTTCCAACCATGCATGAGCAAATTTGGTGCAACAGACACATTTCAGCATGAGAGTAAAGCTGTAAGAGAGATCTTTGTGTGACTGAAATCAGCAGAAACAAATCTTAGCAACACCTCTCTCTCTCTCTGTGATAAGGTCATTTGGTGTTGCTTCTGATTTAAGGAACAGATTGTAACTGCTAAATGAGATGTAAAGAAAGATATTTTACGTATCTTTTCATTTTTCTTCCTTTTTATTATTGTAAGTCACCTATAGTAGTTCTAGAGTATTTGCCTTGATAGATGGCAAATAAATTTAATTTCAATTTAATAAATAAAATTAATTTACCTACAGATGTATAATACTGTATTATAATAAATATTACCTGTGTGGTAATAATAGTATAAAATTTTTAATGCTATTAACTGTTGCGTATCTCATCTCATCAATTGAACGAGTTGCTATGGTTGTGAAGGGCTCTAACTGTTCAGGATAAGGTAGTCAACAATAGATTAAAACAGTACAGCTTCTGTGGGAAAAGGAAACACAGAATTAAATGTGAGGAAATTTCATCTTGTGGGCAACTAACGTAAGCTTATTAAGGACATCACATGCTAGAAATGAAAAGCAGCTATCAACACAATTATTGATTCAAGCAAAGCATTGGTGATTTCCAAAGGTATATTAGTCTGCAAGAAAGCTGGTTATTTTCAACATAAATGTGACACTGATAAAAAAAAGCACTTGAAAAATAGCTGTATATTCTTTTATAATGTTATATATTAAAATGTTTCTCTTATCCGTCTTCTTGAACACATATACTATGTAGAATTTTAGTGGAGTCTCACATGTGTGCATTCTTTAATGAATAAAGATTGAATAACTTGACATTTTTGACAGCCTTTTATTAGAAATACTGCCTTAATCTAAAGGTAATTCTCACAATTTAGGTCTTTTAAGAACCAATTCCCTAATTGCAATACTGGGATTATTATAAAACCTTTATGTTCAATCTCAGCACCAATCTCATTGCACTAGAGATGACATTACTATGAAAAGGACAAATCCATTCTGATATATTGAACAGTGGTCTTCACTTCCAGCCTTGAAAGCTTACCATTAATAGCGAAGTAATGAGGTTTTGATTCCAAATCACATGAGAAGTTAACATTATGGAATAATCCAATTTGAAAATTCAGGGGAGATGTTTAACTAAAATATGTCTATACAAGGAATCAATAACTTTGATGAAACTTGATTGCTTTAAAGACTTTGAGACATTGTAGGTTGATTATAAGTTATCTACATTTGCTTGACAATATATATAATTGAACATCTGCTAACCAAGTAATATGGTCTGAGTACACCAGTAATTTGGGATGCGAGAGCAAAAAACAACCAGTAAAAAAAAATTAGTTCTAGAATTTGTCATCTCACAAAGAGTTTTGGCTCTTTCAAGCTGGGGACATAGCAAAGAGGATAATTTTATGCAAATGGAAATGTATTTCCTGGTATTAAGAAAAGGAAAGTCTCCTTTAACAATAGGAAGAGGAAGCATATGTTTCTATATGGTCTACATTTAATGTTAAATTTAAGGATTGCATTTGTATTATCAGTAGTAACTGTATGGATATTTTTTTTCCTGTTAATTAGGTAGACCCTTTAGTCACATTCTAAACTCATTTTTTTCTTTTCACTATATGAACATATGAAATGAATTTTCAAATGAAATTTCACCATATGACATATGAAATGAATGAATTTATCTTTTCTCTCTTTGTGCTGTAGTTTTTTTTAATGTCCTTTTTAAAAATAAATAAAAGTCCCTGCTAGCACACATGTGAAATTAGATCAATGATTGTACAGTTTTATTGTAAACCAGCCATACCAACATCACTTGAAACAGACAATGTTTGTTTTGGTAGACCTAAGAATAGAATAGAATTCTTTAGAATAGAATAGAATTCTTTATTGGCCAAGTGTGATTGGACACACAAGGAGTTTGTCTTTGGTGCATATGCTCTCAATGTACATAAGAAAAAATAAAATACATTAATAAAGAATCATACGATACAACACTTAGTGATAGTCATAGGCTACTAATAAGCATCAAATCATACTAGGAAACAAATAAAACAATATAAATTGTAAACATATAAGCAACACGGTTATAACCATAAGTGGGAATAGGTAATAGGAAGGATGAGAATAATAATAGTAATACAGTTTTATTAAGTAGTTTGACAGTGTTGTGGGAATTAGTTGTTTAGCAGAGTGAAAGCATTCAGGGAAATACTGTCCTTGTGTCTAGCTGTTCTGGTATGCAGTGCCCTATAGCGTCGTTTTGAGGGTAGAAACAATTTATGTCCAGGATGTGAGGGGTCTGTAGATATTTTCACAGCCCTTTTTGACTTGTGCAGTATACAGATCCTCAATGGAAGGCAGGTTGGTAGCAATTGTTTTTTCTGCAGTTTTAATTATCCGTTGAAGTCTGTGTCTGTCTTGTTTGGTTGCAGAGCCAAACCAGACAGTTATAGAGGTGCAGATGACAGACTCAATAATTCCTCTGTAGAACAAGCCACGGTCATCCACATCTTCAAAAAGGGAGACCCCAGCCTAGTTGAAAATTACAGACCAATCTCCTTATGCTGTGTCACCTGTAAAGTCATGGAATCAATTATTAACAAATCCATTATCCTCCACTTAGAGACAAACAACCTACTCTCTAATAAACAATTTGGTTTCAGAAAACTATTCTGTAATCTGCAACTCTTACACTGCAAAAACATATGGACTACACAACTCGATCAGGGCAAAGCAATAGACACAATTTACATAGACTTTTATAAAGCCTTTGATTCAGTGGTACACAACAAACTGCTAAAACTAAAATCATATGGATAAGCGCACCAACATGCCTACCGTCCCTGTCCTATTGTTTCTTTTATTTTTCTTATATGTACCCATTTCATGTATTCATAACTATGTTTTTACTTATACCTATTATCTTATAAGCGATTGACAAATCAAAATAAATAAATAAATAAAAATAAATAAAATTGAATCAGCAGTTCTTTGGACAGTTTGATCTGAGTTGGCGCAGAAAGAACATTCTTTGTTGTGCTTTATTGATGACATTTTTGATGTTAGATGCCTATTTTAAGTCTTGAGATATGATAGAATCTAGACATTTGAAGGTCTCTACTGTTGATACTGTGTTGTCTAGTATTGTAAGAGGTGGTTGTATAGGAGGGTTTCTCCTAAAATCTACCACAATTTCTATAGTTTTAAGTGTATTTAGTTTAAGATTGTTCTGGTTGCACCATAAGGCTAGTTGTTCAACCTCCTGTCTGTGTGCAGATTCATCGCTGTCTCGAATGAGACCAATCATTGTTGTATCATCTGCAAACTTCAGAGAGCTCTTTTGAGATGCAATCATTGGTATATAGTGAGAAGTGGAGAGAGCACACAGCCTTGGGGGGGGCCCTGTGCTAATTGTACAGGTATCTAATGTGATTTTGCCTAGCTTCACCTGCAGCTTCCTGTCAGGAAGCTTATGATCCATTTACAAGTGTGATTAGGTACAGCTAGCTGATTTAGTTTAGTTAGAAAAAGTATCTGGAATGATGGCATTGAATGCTGAGCTGAAGAGGACCCTTGCATAGGTCTTTAGAGATTCAAGATAGCTCTGGCTTGTGGAGGGGGGGAGTACTTCATTGAAAAACTTAAAACATTTAAAGCAGAGATAAATATTGGCCACTTTTGTTTTTCTAACATTTGCTCCCTCTGCCATAAAGAGTTAAGCTGCCAAATTGGCAAAGCTATCTGCCTTCTGTTTATTTTTTGTTGAAAGATGTGCCATTTTTCACTTATATTTTTTTCTACAGTGCAGCTTAAGTCAAGTGGACGAACAACCTAATTTATTTATTTATTGAATTTATATTGCCACCTATTTGCTCATTGGGACTTGAGGCAGCTTGCAGAATGTAAAACCATATTTAAAATAAAAACCAATAAAAACTAACACAAAGAATCAAATAAATTAATAACATACAATAGAATAAAATCTGGGACAAAATAAATAAAAAGCACCCCCAACTCCCACTCCGATGACAGCAGATCACACAAGCCATTTGATGGGCTCCATCCTGCTCTGGGTTCCCCAGGCCCGCTGGCAGAGCCAGGTCTTCAGTGCCTTCCAGAAGAGTATTAGAGAGGGGGCCATTCTAATCTCTGGGGTAATGATGTTCCACAGAGAGGAAGCCACCACAGAGAAGGCCCTTCTTCTGGGTTCTACCAGGTGTATCTCCCTCAGGGTTAGGGTTAGGGTTAGACTCCCTGCTCTAATGGGTTGGATAAATATGACTAGCAAGAGACGTTCCCTCAGATAATCTGGTCCCAAGCCATGAAGGTCTTTAAAGGTGACAACCAGAACCTTGAATTGCACCCGGAAGCAAATCGGCAACCAATGCAGGTCTCGCAGGAGAGGTGAAACAGGTGCACACCGGGGTCTGCACAAAACCATGTAGACCTGCATTTTGCACCAACTGGATCTTCCGGATGTTCTTCAAGGGTAGCCCATGTAAAGCGCGTTGCAATAATCAAGACGGGAAATGACTAGGGCATGAGTGACTGAGTAGGAACCGTTGGTCCAGGAAAGGGCGTAACTGGTGCACAACCTGCAGTTGCGTGAAGGCCATCCTGGCCACGACTGCCACCTGCTCTTCGAGTAGGAGTCATGAATCCAGGAAAACCACTAGATTATACACAGGTTCTGTTTGGGGTAGTGCCACCCCATCCAAGACCAAAGGTGGCAATTCTCCCTGAGCCAACGAACTCCAGACCCAGAGCCACTTGGTCTTGCAAGGGTTTAGTTTCAACCCATTGCTCCCCATCCAGCCCCTAACAGCCTCCAGGCACTACGAGAGGGAGGACACAGCACATGCCAAGACATACAGCTGGGTATCATCAGCATATTGGTGATACCTCAGTCCACGATGATGGATGATCTCACCCAGCGGTTTCATATAAATGTTGAACAGAAGTGGAGAGAGTACTGAACCTTGGGGAATCCCATAAAGCAGTGGGCGAGGACTGGATCTCTCCTCTATCAAAACTGACTGAGAGCGGTCACCGAGGAAGTGAACCAGGACAGTACAAGGCCTCCTACTCCCATTCCCCCAAAGCCGCCCCAGGAGAATCCCATAGTCAGTGGTATTGAAAGCCGCTGAGAGATCAATTAGAGCAAGGATGGATGCACTACCCCCATCCTGCTCCCATCAGAGGCCATCCAAGTGTGACCAATGCCATTTCTGCCCAAATCCTTGCCTGAATCCCGACTGGGAGGAGATAATCCGTTTCATCCAGAAACCTCTGGAACTGCTGCACGACCACCTTCTCAACAACTTTCCCCCAAAAGAGAAGATTGGAGAGAGGTTGGAAATTATTCAACTGGGTGGAATCAAGAGATGGCTTCTTAAGAAGAGGGTGGACCACAGCCTCCTTAAAGTGCTGGAGCACTGTCCGTCCCCCACCCGTAGGGAAGCATTAATCACCCCCAGAGCCCACCCGTCACTTCCTGGGAAGCTTTCACAAGCCAGGAGGGACATGGGTCTAAATAAAACACAGGTGTTTGTGGGCATATTCCCTAGGATCCTGTCCACTTCCTCAGGAGCAACAGGGTCAAACTGTTCCCAGATAACAGGGCAAGAACCTGCCTCAGGAGCTTCCACCAGACCAGCAACCACACCGGCATCTAACTGGGAATGAAGTAGAGCGATTTTGTCTTCCAGAAAATTTCTCAGTGCGCCCCTTCAGGTGG